ACCCTGCAGCAGGGGGGTATGCACAGCCAGGGGGGTACCCAGCAGCAGGGGGGTACCCTCAGCCGGGGATGGCCATGCCCACCATGCCTGTTCGTTTTGGTAAGTGGGAGCACCTTGGTTATTTTTTGGGGGGGGACACTAGAAAAAGGGGTGCTATGGGGGGCTGTGCAGCCCACCCTGGTGCTGAGGGGTGTCCCCCACTGCAGGTGACAGTGGCATCGGGGACAGCTCCCCCCTCCAATCAGCTGACTGGGATGACAGGAAAGTCCGGCACACCTTCATCCGCAAGGTGAGTCCTGGGGGGGCCAGGGGCACCCATCAAGGTTGGGGGGCACCTGTCAGGTTGGGGGGCTGGGTGCTCATCCCCCATCTCTCGCAGGTCTACGCCATCATCTCCCTGCAGCTACTGGTGACTGTGGGGATCATCGCTGTGTTCACGTTCGTGTGAGTGGAGGGTCCCCCCTTAGCCTTGCCCTGGAAAAGAGGGGAGCCTGGCCCCCTGCCCCCTGGGGGGGGGAGGGGGGAGTCCCAAGGGGACAGTAGTTGCTGTCCCCCCTCCCTCACACTCGTCCCTCCCATCCTGCAGCTCCCCCGTCCGCTCCTTCGTCCAGAGGAATGTTGCCATCTACTATGCCTCGTAGTGAGTAGTCCCCGGGGGACAGTAGTTGCTGTCCCCCCTCCCTCACACTCGTCCCTCCCATCCTGCAGCTCCCCCGTCCGCTCCTTCGTCCAGAGGAATGTTGCCATCTACTATGCCTCGTAGTGAGTAGGGGGGACCCCCACTCGCGCCCCCCCGGCCTGCCGTCCAGCAGCTGGCACCCTGCAATCGCAGCCTCCCGGCCTGGGGGGATGTCCTGGTGGGGGGGGTCGCAGGGCTGACGCCCGCTGTCTCTCTCTGCAGGCTGGATGGGGATGGCAGGCGCCAGTATCCCACGAGGCTGGTGTCCCCTCGGCCAGTCCCTTCAAGGTGCCAGGGTGCTGGGCTGGGGGCGGTGGGGGGAGCCCGGCTATGCCCCCCTGGCCACCCTCTTGTATCGCTCCGTCTCATACTCGCCCTGGTTGGCTTCCTTCATCTTTTGGCGGATCTTGAGCTGCTCCAAACGGTTTTTGTCCACTTCTCGCTTGACCAGGAGGAAAAGGATGATGCCGGAGGGCAATCCGATGGCCCTGCAGAACAGCCAAGGGGCCCACCCTTCTTCTCTCCCGTAGACGCTGGCCATGGGGCTGATGACAGGGACGATCGCCAGGTACATGCCAGGGACCCCGTGGTGACAGGAGCTGGGGTCCCTTCTGTCCCCTGCCACATGGCTGGCTCAAATGAGAGGCTGCCAGGAGCCAGAGGACACCCTGGTCCCTTCGGCTTGGGAATAGCGGGGTCCCTGCCTGGGATCAGGGGTGTGGGGGGGCTACCAATGCCCCCCTGGCAGGGGGGCACCCAAATGGGGTGACTCTGGTGTCCCCTCCATCCACAGCATGTACAGGACCAATGCTGTTCTGATCGCCATGCTCATCACCGCCATCGTGGCCATCATTGTCACCATCTTCTGCTTCCAGACCAAGGCAAGGAGGGGGACGTACCCTGCCTCGCCCTGGGGGGTGTCAGGTGTGGGGAGCCAGGCGGTGGGGGACAGCCCAGGCTCTCCCATGACATATATGTGTGTCCCCTCTGGCAGGTTGATTTTACATCGTGTCCAGGGCTCTTCTGCGTGCTAGGCATTGTGGTCATGGTGACCGGGATCGTCACCGCCATTGTCCTCTCCTTCAAATATGTGAGTGGGGGGGACAAGAGGGGCTGTGGGGTGCCACAGGTGTCCCCAGGGCTGGTAGGGGCCAGGGGGGGTTTGGGTGGGAGCAGGGTGTGGTGCCAGCCATGGCAGAAGCAGCTTGCCTGCAGGGAAGAGGGTG